CCCCACCCGAAACCTTATATTTCAAGAATCTTTCACGATGGCGTTCCCAAAGAACCCCTAAATAAATAATACTGGATTCTGTTTAAATAGACGCTTCTTCGTTCAATGTCGGCTCCTCCAGTTCCTAATTCGGGAGTATTTGCATAATTGTTTCCGTATTTTCTTCACATGCTTTCAAACTATAGGATTTCATTAACGTGTGAGATTGGTCAGACATAGTTTGGGCTTCGTGGTATTCTTTTCTGTGTCTTCCCCCTTTACCCAATTGCTTATGTTTTTGTCCTCTAGGGTTTACAGGTATTTGTATAGACTCTCTTCGGAGACGGCCATTTGAGCTGGTTGGTTTTCCCGAAAGAACGATCTTTTGGTTCAATATATCTGGGTCTTTGTGATTTGTCACTGGCTTTTGACCTGAGTGCTGTGTAGGCACAATTTTTTAACTTTCTTCTGTTTTTTAGTTGTTGTTCTTTTTTGATGAAGGTGAATTTTTCACATATCGACACAACTTAGATCATATCTCTTTTCTCTTTTCTGTGGTAAGAGAATGTCTCCTATTCATAGTCCTTAACTAACCAAGATATGTTATGTAGCGGTTTAAGCGCTTAGCTGTAGCATGCAAGAGACCCAAGTTCGATTTCCTTGTGGACAGAATTTTCATCGAGTTGTTTCCCTTTTAGCCAAGGTCAGCCCTGACAGGCAGTGTCGAAGCACGCCTCTTAAATGATCTGAAATAATTATTGTTTCGATTTGGTTGTAGAAGTATTTACATTCTTAAAATGTCCAAAACTAGCCGTCTATCCAGTGTCTCACTGCTTGAAGTTTGCTATCGTTGTTGTTGCTGATGATGACAATGATGATGATGCTTTTGTTGCTGTAATCTTTTGCTTTGCTTTTGGTTTGTTCGTTCGTTCTCTCTTTTGTTTGTTTCTTTGTTTGTTAGCGTGTTTGTTTGTTTGTTTGTTTGTTTGTTTGTTTGTTTGTTTGTTTGTTTGGGGGTGTTTTATTTTCATTATTTTAATCTCACAATTTATTGCCCAGCTTGACACAATGCAGATGTAATTCACTTTAAAGGTGGAGCGATTTGTGCACCAGATAGAGGTGGACTGAGATAGAGGCCGAGATGAATAACATTTGGATTCAACCCCTAACAACAGTGAGGCCGATCAAGTAAAAGCAAAGCAGGCTTTAACTCAACTACCCCCCCCCCTCCCCCATATTCATAACTTACTTGATTCAAAGTATGCACATCCGGGGTCTCTACTGTTTTGGGGACCACATCTGGGTCGCAGTAACGTCCAGTGCGAAAACACGTTAAACATATTTTAAGTGTGTGTGTGTGTGTGTGTGTGTGTGTGTGTGTGTGTGTGTGTGTGTGTGTGTGAGTGTATGTGTGTGTTATTTTGTTTTGTTTTGTTTGGTATTTTTTTAAACTGGTTTTGTTTTGGGTTGTTTTTTGTTTGTTTGTTTGTTGTTTTGTTTTGGTTTTGGGTTTTTTTAATGGTCGGGGTTACTTTTTCCACAATTCAAACCCATAATCAACTACTCTTTTGTAGAATTGAAACTCAAAACTCACCACAGGGGTAAATCTATCATGTTTAGCTTTGAAATAAGAGCAGGTCTCTGTGATGAGGAAGAACACCAGGAGACCACACCTTATGGAGTGAACAATGGGCCAAATATCGAAAGTACAACTCGAATCAAAAGGATATGAATAATGTTGGGGGTATTTTCCTCGATGACATCCAACAATTCTCAAAACTTTCTGTGACTTTAAACTTTTGGCAAGACCACCAAAATCAATCTTTATTCTATATAGATGGAAGCTCATTTATAATAATAACAATAATAATAATAA